GAGGTAGTCATTTGTAATGACTGCATAATTAACAATCCTATGGATGACACAGAAGGAGCTCATGTGAGCTTATTCTCTCTCCTCTCTCCCTCTCATGTTTGCCTGTCTATATGTCTGTTTGTCTATTTATCATCTATCCACTCAATGTTTATTCCAGCATTCTTTCCATGCTTATAGATGGCATATAATTGAGATTATATTGCACCTTCATCTTGCCTGCAGAGAATTCAATCAATATAAGGTCATGAACATTTTCTCATGTTCTTAAAAATCCTTCAAGAATGTCATTTAAAAAATTAGACTTTTTATTTTAAGATAATTCTAGATTTATAAGCAACTGTAAGGAATAATACAGAGAGATTCTATATATCGTTTACCCAGTTTCCCCAAATGGTAATATCTTACAAAACTATAGTACAATATCCTAAGCAGAATACTGACATTGATGGAAACAAGTTACAAAACAGTTTCATCCTACAAGAGAATGTTATTTTTAATAACTGCTTACCAATCCATTTTATGAATGTGTCATTATTTATCCTGCTATTGTTTGACATGTAGGTTGCTTCCAATTTGGGATTATAATTAATAATCCTGTAGAGAACATCTTTGTATATAATTTTTGGCCAAAATCTTTGTTTATTTTTGTAGGAGAGATTCCTCAGGTCAAAGTGTATACACATTTTAAGGTTCTCAACACTGATTGCCAAATTGTTTTCCAGAAAGATTGTACCAACTTATGTTCCTGCAGTGCATGAAAGTGCTTGGCTTACCACACTCACCAATATTGAGTCTTAAAAAATTCTTTGGGCTGGGTACGGTGGCTCACACCTGTAATCCTAGCATTCTGGGAGGCCGAGGCGGGTGGATTGTTTGAGCTCAGGAGTTTGAAACCAGCCTGAGCAAGAGCGAGACCCCGTCTCTACTAAAAATAGAAAGAAATGAATCGAACAACTAAAAATATGTAGAAAAAATTAGCCGGGCATGCTGGCGCATGCCTGTAGTCCCAGCTACTCGGGAGGCTGAGGCAGGAGGATTGCTTGAGCCCAGGAGTTTGAGGTTGCTGTGAGCTAGGCTGACGCCACGGCACTCTATCCCAGGCAAAAGAGTGAGACTCTGTCTCAAAAAAAAAAAAAATTTCTTTGCCAATTTGATGAGTGAAACATGGTATCTTAGGATTTTTTTGATTATCGAAGGTAAACATTTACATATATTAATAGATTTTTGCATTTTTCTCTTGATAGTCATCTCATCCTGTCTTTTGACCATTCCTGCTTCATTTTCTTAATTTATAAATACTCTTTACATATTAAGGATATTATTATTTTTAACAGCTTTATTTAGATAAAATTAAAACACCATACATTTCACCCATTTACGCTCTACAATTCAATGGCTTTTAGTTTGTTTTAGAGTTGAGCGTCCATCAGCACAATCAATTTTAGAACATTTCATTACCTTAGAAAGGAACTCTGCTGCCCTTAGCTGTTAACCCCAATCCCTCCATCCTTTCCATTCCCTGGCAACCACTTCTCTACTTTTTGTGTCTGTATATTTGCCTATTCTGGACATTTCACATACGTTCTATTTCATGGAATCATATACTATGTGGTCTTTTATGACTGGCTTCTTTCGCTTAGCATATGGTTTTCAAAATTCATACATGTTTTAGCATGTATCAGAATTTCATTTCTTTATAAGGCTGAATTCCATTATATGGATATACCACATTTTGTTTATCCATTCATGATGGATATTTGAGTTATTTCTTCCTTTTGGATATTATGAATCATGTTGCTGGTCGATATTAATGTACAAGACTCTGTGTGGACACGTGTTTTCATTCCTCTTGGGTAGAAAGCTGGGAGTGAAATTGCTGAGTCATATGGTAACTCTATATTTAACTTTTTGAGGAACTGTGAGACTATTTTCCACAGCAACTGCACCATTTTACACTCCTATCAACAATGCATGCAGGTTCCACTTCCTCCGCATTCTTGTCGACACTTTTTATTGTCCATCTTTTGATTGTAGTCATCCCAGTGGGTTTGAAGTGGTATCTCATTATGGTATTGACTTTCATTTCCCCAATAGCTAATGATACTGAGCATCTTTCCATGTACTTATTGGCTATTTGTATATCTTATTCCCTATTCAAATTCTTTGCCCATTTTAAAATTGAGTTATTTGTCTTTTTACTTTAGACTTGTTGTAGAGTTCTTTATATATTTTGAATACAAGACTCTGAGCAGACACATGATTTACAGACATTTTCTCCCATTCTGTGGGTTGTCATTTCATTTCCCTGATAGTGTGTTTGAAAAATAATTTTAAAAAATAATTTTGATATGCAGTTTATCTACTTTTTTCTTTCATTGCCTGTACTTTTGGTGTAATATATAAGAAACCATCACCTAATCCAAGACCATTAAGATTTATGCCTATGTTTTCTTCTAAGAGTTTTGTAATTTTAGCTCTTACATTTAAGTCATTGATCCATTTTGAGTTAAATCTTGTGTATGATGTGATGTATGAGTCCAACTTTATTCTTCTGCATACGGATATCCAGTTGTTCTAGCACTATTTGTTGTAAAGACTATTCTTTTTCCATTGCATTTTCTTGGCATCATGGTCAAAAAATAATTTACCTTAGATGTAAGGGTTTGTTTCTGGACTCTCAATTCTATTCCATTGATCTATAAGTCTATCCTTATGTCAATATCACACTGATTTGATTATTGCAGCTTTGTAGTAAAGTTTGAAATCAGGAAGTGTGAGTCCTCTGACGTTGTTCTTTTTCGAGATTGTTTATTTTGGCTATTCTGGATCCCTTGAAGAATATTTTTCTTTTAATCACTATATTTCTTTGTAGATAACTTCCTATTTGTGATTTGACTTTTGTTTACGCTATTTAATTATACAGAAGTTTAAAAATTTCCTTTTTGATTTTTATGTTGTTTTCATATGTAGAAAAAATTCTTTTATATTGTTAATTTTTGAATAGCTTTCTGAACCTAAAGTTATTTTTCTATTTATTTTCTTCTTTAAAAATGAGTTATAAAAATAACAATTGCTCACTGTAAGAAATTAACATGATTACTTATTAAGCAAAAAACATGAGGTTCTCCTATAACCAAGTGCTTTCCAATTTGCTTCTCCAGAAATCACCACTGTTAGCAGTTTGTATCCTTCTGAATCATTTTCTATGCATATGCACATATATAGTTTTTAAAAAGAGGTATCAAAAATATAAATATTGTTTTGCTTCTTTCTTTTTTTCACTTAACAATATAGCAGGGCATCTGTCCATGTGTAGATCAATCTCATATTTTTTATTATGCTAAGGAAAGCCTTTCCTACTCCAAGATTATAAAAATATCCTCCTATGTTGTCATCTAGTACTTTTATAGACAGCCGCTCATTTGTGTCTTATTTATTTTTAACTTATTTTACAACAACTGTAGCATTAGTGGAATTCTTAATGTCATCCTATCCTAGGGGTAGGGAAATTATAAGTGGTTGCCCCTCTTCCCTTTGCACATATTCAAGAGAAGGGCGGGCAAACATTCTGCCTGTTGACTTACATTCAGATAGCTTAAATTGGCTAGGCCTAGAGGAAGAGGTGAGTGTGTGTCCCTCCACTACTCATTCTGCCTTTCGTACTTGCCTGCACCCACTTTCCTCAAGTATAAATCAGTTGTTCCCCATAGAGTGTTTAAAAGATCTCCTTGGAATGATTAGCCTATGTAACATCAGTCCACTCTCCTGCCAGAAAATTTTGAAAAGGATTATAGAAAAAAGTGACACTTGCAATTCCCATAAGAACTTTTAGCATTTGAGCAAAATCGGGCGAATCCCTCTGGCATTGGCTCTGTTTCAGATTTAACACAGTTTTTATGCTGACACCCCCACCTCTCCTCAGCTGGCCACAGCTTCACAGGCAGGGTTCCTGCAGGTCCTGCTGGCTCTTTTTTCCCCAAGCACTGCTATCTTCCCTCAGCCCAGTCCCTGGGGGCTTTGGGCTCAGAGCAAGGAAAGAGCTCTAGCTTCTTTCATTTTCCACTTGGCTTCTCTGCGGGGTTGCCTCCTCCTGCCTTTTTATTTTGTGCCTGCTCTAAAGCGTGTCAAGACTCCCAAGCCCATGAGAGATGGCAGCCCAGGTGTCTGTACAGGGGGCTTCCTAGGACGCCAGTGTTTGGGATTCAGGAATCTGGAGGGCGCAGAACTTGGCATATCCAAGGCCTAAGATCTGAGTGTGCGTGTGTGTTTGCGTGGCTGTTGTTGTTGGGGGCATATTTTGGCTTCAGCACAGGCCCTTTCAAACTATCCGGGGCTCGTATCTTCTTGGCGCAAGCAAGGACAGCAGCCCTGACAGGACCACCTGCATGTGCTCTCACTGTGCAACTCCCCAGCGCTGAATCTTTGCCTCGGCCAGTACCGGCCGGGATGCTAAGGAACCGCCAAGACTTGCATGAGTTGCCATGGGAGTGCGAGGCCGGGCCATCTCCTCCCACCACATGTGCCTGCCTAGCGCGGCCTTCCCTCCCCTGACAATGGGCGTCTCTGCAGGGGTTCTAGCTTCTGGCTCCTTGCGTCCCTCCTCCACAGCCCCCGCCTCCTCTCATGCTCCGGGAAGCGCCGAGGCGTGGGTGCGCACCCAGGAGGAGTTGCCCTCGCCGCGGCGGCGGCCAGGAGCCCTCCTTCGGAGCCCCAAACTCAGACCAACTTCTCGGACTCCGCGCGTACTGCGCTCTCAGGCCGCCGGCGCCCCTGCCCCTACTGGGGGACTAGGGCGGGCGGGCTGCAGCAGCGCAGCTGGGCTGAGCGGGGCCGGGGGCGGTACTCCTCCAGCAGCGCTCGGGCGCACAGGGGCGGTGCGCTGGGCAGAGCTCCGCAGCGGTGGGCTGGGGTGGCGGCCCCGGCCCCGCATTCCCGCGTGAGGATGGCGGCGGCAGGGTCCCGGCCCCACCTGGACTCGCCAACGAAGGCGGCCAGGCACTTGTCCCAAGCTGCCGCCTCGGCGCCATGGACCCCTGTGCTGTGCAGCAGAAGCCCGGGCCTTTCCCTGAACCCGGACGGCTGCACTTTTGTCCCGATCGCCCAGGCGATCCCTCTGCAGGTGGACATGGCCATGGCCCTGCAGCGCGTGAGGATTGCCGAGAAGTACGGGAAGAGCTACCTCTGCCTCCTGCAAGCGGTCTTCTTCGCAGGTAAGCCCCCTCCTAGCACTGGCTGCCCGGCGGCCTCAGGCTCTAGCCTAGTTCACTCGCTCCTGTCCTCACCGGCTCCCGCCCCAGCCGGCTCGGCGAGCACACTTTGTCTTCCGCTCCACACCGCGCGCACGCTTCCCCACTGCAGCGGCGCTCCTCGCCGCGGGCTCGCCCCGCCATCCGTGCTCTGTTGCTCCGGCCAGCTCCGCGCTGCAGGCATGCAGCTCTCGTGTGGGCTCGGACACTGCAGGCGGACCGTGACAAAGTCCGGGAGGCGGTGTGAGGGTGTCTGCCGTTGCTGGTTCAGGTCTCCCGTCCACTTCTTACTCACCTCTGTGCGTCACGGGAAAATTGGGAATAGACCTTATGTTCCAACCCCACATCCCGCACATCAGAACCCAGCCTCCTGGAGGGTGAACTTCCCTTGTAATATTCCCTGAAACTGGAAAAACGAGGTCCCCCCTCAAAACACATATAGGGGAAACCAAGTCAAAAAGACGCTCGGATTCTGATACCGGCGGCACAACATTTGGAGGAGAAGTTGTAGGGAAAGAGCTCCTGCCACCGATTTGGATTTTTCATCCAGACAAGTGCATCTTTCCATCTTGGTCCATGAGCTTCCTGCCTCCCAGGGTCCTCACTACTAAGGCAGAAGCTCTTGTTTGTCTGGAAGGACAAACAAAAACAAAGTCAACAAACTCACAAAACCTTTACTCCTGCTGCAGCGGTTTGGTTAAGGGTGCGAGTGGTGTAACGTGGACTTGGTCACTTGCCAGTCATGATAAACTCAGGGTTAGCAAGCCCAGGTCGCCCAGCTTTAGGGTTGGTGCAGCAGGGGGGGTGCAGCGGGCGCTGGGGCTCTGAGGAGATTCGTCCTATGGGACCATTCTGACTGGGGCGCTGGAGCAGCCAGACAATGGAGTGCAACTTTGAGACCTTAAGTTCAGCTGGGGCTTTTCAGACAAGTCCGCAAGGTGCTGCAATTGATGGTATGTTTTCCTGTGCTCCCACGGTAGTATTGGCTTACCAAGTGCTAAGCCTTGCAATGGGAATTTTGGTATTCAAAAAATCGACTTGGTGGCAATTTCCCACAAATCAGGGAGCCACAACACATGTTCCAAATATTCCTCTTTATTCAGGGTTATCCGCGAACTTGAAGGAGCCATGCAAACCACTTCACTTAGACCAGAGGAAACAATTCAAGGCTGTGGTCTATGCATCTTGATAACACAGAATTCTTTGGTCTTGCCTGTTTTGTTTGGAGGTGGTCAATATTATTTTCTCTGCGTGATCAATCATTAAGGGGAGTGTGGTGAGGGGGCACAAAGTGCTTCCCATCTTAAGAGCATATTTAAATAGTCTTTGGAGTCTACACAAGAATTTCGCTGAAACTTTCTGTGCAGTGCAGTGGAAAGTACTTTGCGTCTTGTTCTCATTACGTCCTGCATCTTTCTAAGAGCTAAAAATAAATAAATAAAAATTAAAAAAAATCTCCGTAGGAGAAATGCGTGCTTAATCACAAGTGCGGTTAGCTCTGCTATGAAATGTAAGTCAACATTTTTACTGCTAATGATTTCTCTTATTTCTAGAGTTGGGTGATGTTTCATCTTCCTATACGTTTGAAGCCTCCTGCATGTTGAGAAGCCCACCTTGCTGTGACATCACAGCACCTAAATGACATCAGTTGCTGTGCTGTGTCTTCATATGCACTTGTAGTACTTTTGTACCTTTCAGCATTTGCAGCAGTAACCTCTGCCTCCATGTGGACCAACACAATGCACTGAAAGGGGTTGTACCCATATGGGCAGAGCACGTGCACAATAATTTTAAATGTGAAAAAAAATTTCATATACTTGAAAGCTATTCATATATTTAACAATATGTTTACTGACTGGACATAGTGGCTCACACCTGTAATCCCAGTGCTTTGGGAGGATCACTTGAGCACATGAGTTCGAGACCAGCCTGAGCAATATAGTGAGACCCTATTCTCTACCAAAAATAAAAAAATTAACCAGGCATTGTGGCATGCACCTGTAGTCCCAGCTACTTGGGAGGCTGAGGCAGGAGGATCACTTGAGCCCAGGAGTTTGAGGTTGCAGTGAGCTGTGATCATACTACTGCACTCCAGCCTGGGGGACAGAGCGAGACCCTGTCTCAAAAAGAAAAAAACTGTTTACAAAGCTTTTCATTGTGGATAAGAACTTTCTAAAACACCACTTTGGTAATGACCATTGTGGATTGCCCAGGGCCATAAATTATGCTACAGTGTAATAAGCTAATATATTTGTGTGCAGGATCTGCCCTGGGGCAGTCAGAGGAGGGAAAGGTTGACTTCACTTAGGGAGTCAGGGGAAGACTCCATGGAGAGAGTTATGCATGAGTTGAATTTTGAGGGATGCATACAAATGTTTAGGTGGACGAGGTGGGGCTGGTGTAGATTGCGTGTGGTAGGGATAGATGGGGAGAATAGTATTCCAGGCAAAGGAATTAAGATGTGCAAAGACAAGCAGAAGGGGAAAGAATAGCAGGTTGCAGGAATTGTAGGGGCCTTTTAAATGATTGGAGTGCAAAGTATGAAAGGTAAAGGAGAGGGAAATTTGGAGAGGTGGGCAGGGGCTACATCAGGCAGAACCCTGTAAGTAAGGCATATTAAATGGTTTTACTTCATTTCCAGAGCAGTGGGAAGTCACTGGAGTGTTGTAAGCAGGGGAATAGAGCAAGACTGCTGCATATGGTTGTGTGGGTTGTGCACTGTAAAACTTTTGGGAGCTCCACTCACAGAGATTACACCATGAATGATGCCCTTGCTAGGGTTGTATGGTATACAATATGCACAGTGGTTAAGAGTGGCTGTGCATGGTGGGACTTTTTGCTTTTACAGAGATCACTCTGGTAGTGGTGTGGGGGATTCCGTGCGTGGAGTATGCAGTGGAGAGGTAGGGTGACTAGTTAGAAAGCAGTTGAAATGAGCTGGTGAGTGCATGAAGGCATTGACTGTCCGTTCCAGGGAAGGGGAGAGGCCTGAGAGGAATTGAAAGGATGGAATTGATTTGACATGGTGACTAGTCATGGCATTTGAGGGACACAGAGGAGACCAGGTTGATTCTAGGTTTCTGGTTAGGGTGACTGGGTGGAACGGGACACCATTAAGACAGGGAATGGAGGAGGAAGACCAAGTTTGGGGTTCAATTTCGGGTGTGTGGTTTCTGTCGAACATTCAGGTAGAGCTGACCAACAGGTCTGGAGCTGGGAAGAAGTAAATCTTATACCTTACTCTCATCAATAGGGTCTGTTAAACTGAAGTTCTTTCCTTAAATCTACTTATCTATGGGCTGTCTTCATAACTCAGCAAATCTTGTACAGAAGTAGCCACAAATTTATTATAAAATTACCTTTCAAACTTGCCCTTTATTTTTTTCTTCACACATCTCCTCCTTACCTGATGATTAAGAAAAAAAAAAAAGAAAAAAGAAAGAAATGTTTGCATTCCCTGCAGGAGAAAAAAATGTAAACCATACTGATCTATGGTGAATTCAGATAACTTAGATAAGTAGCTTCGAAAAACCTGTTCATTGTAATTTTTATTTCATCGGAATTTTACCTCAAGGAGATGTGTAAATCACAACAAAATTTAATTATCCAATGTGCATTCTATAAAGATGGTATTCCAATGATAATGGGTCATTTATCGAGCCACACTGTTCTGTGAGTGTTCCACGTAAGTGATTTTTCTAGCTAACTGAGGTTCAGCATTTTCAGTACCTGACTTGTTTTTTTCCGTCAAAATCTCTAACCATTTTGAACAAAAAGCTTTTCAAAAGGACTATTTACCTTCCTGACTTCTGAACTTGGAAATAACTGCATCCTTTATTTATGACTCAAGATTGTCCTTGTAATAGCAATAGTTATTTTAATGGCTGTATACAGGGACTCCTAAACTGTGGAGGGCTGTTTGTCCCTACATTAAATGGGCACAGTTTGTTCCGCCTTTTAATTTGCAATGCCTGGTTTTTCTAATCTTTCCAAATATCACTTCTCTGTTAGCTGTCATTTCTTGCTGTTGTTAACTGTCTCTACCAATTAGCTGTTATTACCTAACCCTTCATGTCCCCTTCTCCTTTGCCCTTCTGATGTGGTATGAACTAGGGAACAAGATAACCAAACTTGTTAGAACTGTCTGAAAAATATGAGTAAATAGGCTATGAGTAGGACTGTGGGGAGTCTACTTCTACTAATATATATGAACCTTAGGACGTGGACGCTGTGATGTCTATTCTGATTGCGTAAAAGCTTTTTATTTTCTTTCTCTCTAGTTCTTGTCTGTGTTCTGGAGAGTCGATGCTGTTAAATTAGTTAATCAGTAAAATGTGTGTTCTTCTGCTAATTTAGGTATTACAGCATGTGAAACTGTAATATTTTACTTCCTTGTAAAACAAACAAGTGTGTTCAAAATCTATCAGTAAATCCAGATGCATTTTAGCCATTGCATTTCTCAGGCATGCCTGTAAGTGCTTGGCACTAGGAAGCACTTCATTCTTGAAGTTGCCCCCAGGATTGAATGCAAATGTCCATGTCCCTGCTGGGCATCTTCTCAAGTGAGCATCTTCTGAAGGCTCAATAAATAATTTGCAACTCAACTGCCCCAGGACAGAAGCAGAGGCCAATCCCATATGGAGAGATGCCTTCTATCTGATGGCTGACAAGGCCAGCGCCCCTTTCTATTGTTGCCACGTCTTGTTCCAGAGATGGCTCCTGGCAAGAGGCCAGTGTCGCAGAACTTCCTCCCATTTGTTTTTCACCCAAACCTTCCCCTCACTGTCTGTGTGTGGCAAATGTAAGAATCTTACTGACTTCTTGGAAGTTGACATTGAGCAAAGACCTGAAGGAGGTGAGGAAGTAAGCCATCAGGAGTTTCTGCCTCTGCTTTAGGCAGAGGGGGCAGTTAGTGGAAAGGCCCTGAGATGAGAGAGTGCTGAAAATTTCAATAAACAAGAAGG